TCTGTCTCTCTGTCTCTCAAAAATAAATAAATGTTAAAAAAAAAGATATAACACAAGATAGGGGAAATTAATTTTAATGATGAATTTATTTAACCCAATATATCCAAAATATTTTTAATTTCAACATGTTATGTAAAATATCAATGGGTTACGTTGTGCGGTTTTTTCTTCCCCCTTTAGTGGCAAATCTTCAAAATCTGGTGTTCATTTCAGACTTGGAACACACCTCAGTTTGAACTAGCCACATTTTAAGTGCTCGGTAGCCACATGTGATTAGTGGCCACCGTCTTGGCCAGTGTAGGTTTAGATTGGAAATATGGTTTATTTCTTCCTGGGAAAACAAAACACCACCCTGGGAGAAAGTTAGGAGAGTCGTGCAGAAGGTTTCAGTGCATCAGTCTGATTTTTTAGTCTCCAGCCCATTGCCTGCCAAGCGTTGTCTTTTGAAAATTTCCATTTTCAGCTCTGTTAAAGAGTTTTCCTATGGGAGGGAACTGTTCTCTTTAAGCTTCAGGATACTACACAGCGGTGAGGATATATTCATTTTTCAAGCTGGTATAAATGAAAAGGGAGATACAGGAAGATTTTGGCTCAAATTTGATATCCTCGTAGGAAAGGCCCGAGACTTTGCTACGGAAATAAAGAAAAGGATGCTACTTCCCCCCCCCACCCGGCCCCTACCCCCAACAGTGGAATCCCGCCTAAATGTATTAAATATTTTGAACCAGTTTTTGTATGTTTTTACTAGAATCCTGATTTCCCTTGGTCAGTAAAGTAGAGGCATTGGTCCAGCCGTCTTAAAACTGGGCCGGCCTGAGGTGGCATTTGACTTGTTAGAATTTTGTAGACCTTAGACAAGAATAGCTAATTTTACGCAAAACCTCTTTTTGTTTGTTTGTTTGTTGGCTGGTCAGAGCGAGAAATTCGATTCTCAGGATGTGTACTTACAGAAGGGGGCAAGCCCGTTTTAATCGCGTGTGTTTCTTGCAGGACGATCCACTGGTGCTGAACGAGATCAGAGAAGACCTTCGAGTGGAGTGCGCAAAGTTCGGACAAATTAGGAAGCTCCTTCTCTTTGATGTAAGTCCTTTCGGTTTAGTAAGTTATTCCCAGAGGTCAGCGGGCCCCAAATCTTAGACTCGTGGCTGCCATCTAGTGGTGGTCATCTGTTAGCAATAATTAGATGAGCTTGGATTGCAAGGCAGGGCTTCACTGGATGGTCAGATACTGTCAGATGAAAGAAAGCACGAGAAAGATGTGTGAGACCTGGTGGTTTCCTGTTTGCCCGCATTTCCGCCTCTTTGTGAATTATTCTCCTCCATATTCGAAGAGCAATCCAGCAAAATATTTTTCGGTATGTTCCCCTTGTTACCCGTTTCTTACGTCCAAGAGCGACACAGAATAATGAAAAGAGTCACCATTTACCGATTGCACACGAGTTACGTTACATGTTCCCTCGCCTAATCCCTCATGATCCTTTGAGGTAGATGGGTGATAGGTGCTAGATCGAGCACCTTGCTCAAGGTCACTCAGCTGCTAAGTGGCAGAGCCCCACTGGGGCTATTTGACTTGAGAGTCTACACTCGTTAACAGCTCTGCCATCTTCCCTCTCTTTAGACAGGGTTGTCAGTAGAAACATTTCCAAGGACATCCTGCTCGGTTCTTGATAGACAAGATTAAGCAAAAGCAGCCACTAGCTTCAGGTCACTGGCTGGGGTCCAAAGGAAGAAAGGCTTCGTACAGGAAACGTTTAAGCTCAGGTTATCAGAACACCACCACTACGCGCCTGTTTTGTCAAACGTGTGCGTTTTATTTTTAATTGTCTCATTCCTTCTCTTGTCTCTCTAGAGACACCCAGATGGTGTGGCCTCCGTGTCCTTCAGAGATCCAGAGGAAGCTGATTATTGTATTCAGACTCTCGATGGAAGGTGGTTTGGCGGCCGTCAAATCACTGCGCAAGCGTGGGATGGGACTACAGATTATCAGGTAAATTCCGTAACTGTCAAGGGCACAGCAGTTGTTTCCTTACCAACAAATACTGGGCTGGTGGTCCTTTGGGTTCCGTTTAATCTGTTTAATGTAACAGTACTTCTTCTAAATAATACTTTGCATTCAGAGCCTCGCAAGAAAAACGTTTTAGTCTTTCAGTTTAGAAGCCTAAAATTTGGAGGCGTGCTCAGAATAGTGATAAGTAAAGTACAGGCAGAGTTCAAATATTACCGGTTTCGTTGGTGAGACATCTCTGGAGTACTGTGGTGTTGGGCATTTATTCAAGCGATGTTAAAATCAACTCTAGTTAATCAAGATGTTAAAGTTTTGCAAACCGGAGATAGAGGAATGCTCTGATTTCCTAAGAAGAGACGCCTTATAAAATCAGGTACTTGCGTCACTATCAGAAGCATGCAGAGAGATCGTCACTTCTTTTTGCCTAAAACTTATTTTGATGGCAGTTCCCATTTCTCCACAGGTGGAAGAGACCACAAGAGAAAGGGAGGAAAGGCTGAGAGGATGGGAGGCTTTCCTCAATGCTCCCGAGGCCAACCGAGGCCTTCGGCGTTCAAATTCCATCTGTGCTTCAGAAAGGGCAGGGCCTTCCAGAGTAAGGCATTTTTCAGAGCACCCTAGCACGTCTAAGATGAATGCGCAAGAGGCCACCACTGAAATGGCATTTGAAGAGCCTCTAGATGAGAAGAAGTTTGAAAAAACCGAAGATGGGGGAGAATTTGAAGGAGATGCTTCTGAGAAAGGTGCCAAAGAAAGCGGCCCCGAAAAAGAGGCCGAAGGCTGCCCCCAGAAAGAATCTGAAGAAAGCTGCCTCAAAACAGGGTCTGAGGAAGGCTGTCCCAAGAGAGAGCGTGAGGAAGACGACCCCGAAAGAGAGTCTGGAGAAGGCAGTCCTGAAAAGGAGTTTGAAGAGGGTAGTCCCAAGACAGAGTCTAAAGAGAATGGCCCCGAACGGGAATCCAAAAAGAAGAGGGTCAAAAATGATTACGAAGAGAATGGCCTTGAAAAGGAGTCCGATCAAGATGGCCCCAGCAAGGAGGGTGAGGAGGAGGAGAGCCTCCAAAAGGAGTCTGAAGAAGACGACTCCGAAGGGGAATCCGAAGAAGACTGCTCTGAAAAGCAGTTTGAAGATGGCTCCGAAAAAGAATTTGAAGAGAATGGCCTCGAGAAGGATTTCGAAGAGGATGGCTCCGACAAGGAATTTGGTGAAAACATTCTCGACAGGGAGTTCGAAGACAATGACTCTGACAAATCGGAATTTGGAGATAGCAGCTCTGAAAGAGTGTTCGACGAGGAAGTCTCTGAGAGAGAGTTTGACGAAGAGTCCGATGAAAAGGAAGAAGGGGAAGACACCTATGAGAAGGTCTTTGACGACGAGTCCGACGAAAAAGAGGACGAGGAATATGCCGACGAAAAGGGCCTCGAAGACGCCGACAAGAAGATGTTTGAAGATTCAGATGACAAAGAAGACGAGGAGGGCGTAGAGGTAAAGGAAGACGAAGACGTGGATGAAAAGATGTTCGAAGAGGATGATTCCAACGGGAAACTCTTTGAAGATGAAGATTCCAACGAGAAGCTGTTCGACGATTCTGACGAGAGAGGGACAGTGAGGGGCTTGGGGAACGCAAAGGAGGAGGGGCCCCTGTCCACAGGCAGCAGCTTTGTCCTCAGTAGCGACGACGACGTCGAAGACGACATTTAATCCTTTACACTTGCTTTGTAGGGAGCTTCCCCTGGCTCCATTCTTCCTGTGCTCCAGGGCAGTTGCTAGTAGTGTTACATGCACACGTGCCTCGTGGTAGGATGCCATCAGAGTAATGCAGTGACGTTTTCATCGTACCTGTACTCGATGATTTTAAATCTGTGTTCATTGGCCGTTGAGTTAAAACTTCATAATATAATGCAAGTAAGCTGGGTACTTTGTCCTTTGTCTGATTTGTTAATTGCATGCACAATAATGTTTTTTAAACTATTCTGATTGAAGTTTGTGATACTCAAAAATAAAAATAAGTTGTTAATATGCTGAAACTGATAAGAGGACTCGGCGTTACATTGCATTTGAAATTCTCGCTATTGCTTAATTCTTACTAAAGTGTGGTTTTTGTGAGGATTTGAAAAAGCCCGTAGGAGTCGTCTTGCTTCCCGCTTACGCTAGAACTTACGTCCCCACTTCCCCTCCCTAAACCAGAACATGTTACTAAACTTATAAAGCAGATAACACTCTGGAGTTTTTTCCTGCCCGGTCCTTGCAAGTTACTTTGATAATTGTTTTCCTTTTTCATCCTCTTCCCCCGGAAATTGACTCGTAGATGTGCAAAAATGAACTTCCTGAGGCCCACGGCTTCCATTCATTGGAAATACGGAGGAGGTTAGAAATCTGTGTACTGTTGGGGCCCCTTTAGAAGCTGATTGGAGTTATGAGACCTTTCCCCAGAAAAATGTATGCACACACTACACGGCTTTTTTTGTATACACTTTTCAGAGGTTTATGGATCCCCTGGAGTTTTAAGACCTACTTTTGTCATGCATACTTCGGCTTTTTGTTCTACATTCATGGTGGCTAGTACTGTGTTCAGTTGTGTAGTCCCAATAAAAATTGGAGTCTTTCTTCATTGTGCTTTCCAGATTCAGTATTGGTGAATTGACTTCTGATGTAGTATTAAGAAGTTACTCTCATGAATTAGAAGCATTAAAATAAACTGCCTTGGTGCTTTTTCATTATACCGTCTGTAAGTGTAATCATTACCCTCTTGAGACCAAAAAAAAAAAAAGTTCTGTTTCAAGCCAAAGCTGAGAATTTTGTAGTTGATGTCTGGGATTTCTTTCTTTCTTTCTTTCTTTCTTTCTTTCTTTCTTTCTTTCTTTCTTTTTTTTTAATGTCTGGGATTTCTAAAATCTCAGGATTTTCACCAGGGATAAATCAGTAAAAGAGCTCAAGAAATTTACTGGGGCGCCTGGGGAGCCCAGTCGGTTGACCTTTGGACTCTTGATTTCGCCTCAGGTCATGATCTTGTGGCTCACAGGATCAAGTCCTTCCTCGGGCTCTGTGCTGACACTGGAGCCTGCTTGGGATTCTCTCCCTCCCTCTCTCTGCCCCTCCCCCACTCATGCTCGCTGGCCCTCTCAAAATAAATAAGTACAAATTAGCAACATTTAAAAATAAAAGTAACTTAACAAGAGCTAAAGAAACAAGTCTAGAAAAGTTGCAAGCCATAATAGTGTTTCCTTTAAAGGTAAGCCAGAAGCATTTAACACTATATTTACCGGTTTCCTGAACGACAGGTCACGTTTATCTTCCATACACAATGGTGGGAACGCGGACCTACAACACAGACCAGCTCCAAGGCCATTAGAAGGGGACCATTTTCTTTCTGACTTCTTTTTCCCTGCTCATTAATTTGGCCGATAACAAATACGCTCATTTTATTTGAACACCCTGGAAGCAAAAGTCACAAATAGCTGTAAAATGGTAAGTCATTTGCGAGATGGTGTCGGCAAACACGAAAAAGCATGAAGCATATACGCACAGTCGCCAGTTCACTTAAATCGTTGGACCAAGACGATGGAGTTGATTGTGAGGCAACAACATGTCCTGGTAGCAAAAGAAAAGAACGATATAGGGGTGGGTTTCAAGCACAGTAGTGCTCCCCGATCACCTGGCAACGTCTAAGCTTAATGTTCCTTCGGACTGCGTAGCTTACGTGAATCTCAAGCAGTGTACTTAACCCTGAATGTGTGAACCAGAAGTGGCTTCGGGGATGCCTTCAAGTCTCTAATAATAAACTTGAAACTCCATGTTAGAAGATAAAGGTACTAGGGGTCTTGGCAATATTCACAAGATACTTGAAATTCTTAACTGCTTTCTGCAAAAGAAACCTGATAAGGGCAAAATCGGAGTAATATGTTCCAGAGGTCTCTTGTTTTCCTCCTCCATTCATGATAACTGTGGGCTCTTCCTGAAGCCCCGAGCGGCCAAATCTGGTCTATTTAGAAGCCACTGCCTCTTCCTTTTAAGAAGGGAATCTGTTTTTCTGGTATGAATTATTTGGGAATTCTGAGGCTTGGAGAAGAGGTAGGAGTTAGCTGATTTTCTGAATATGACTTTCCCGATGTGAATCTTATTATTATTATATATTTTTTTGGAAAGTAAACTATAAACTTTTCAGTGTAATGCTGAGAAGTGCTCTTAATTGATTTGAGCAAAGCCATGGCTTGGAGAACAGGAAAAGGCTTATAAATGTCCCCTTGTAAGGATTTGTCAGTATTCTTAGAGATGGTTTTTTTCCTTATTGAGTCTCCGATACAAACCATGTGCCTTTTTAAAAGACAGTCACATCATTTAAAATCTGACCGATGATTTTTGCCTCTACCCACACCTCATTTACATGTGTGGCTAATTCATACCCAAATAAAATACTAACCTGACGTAAGAAAAAAACCCAAAACATGTTACAATTAGTCTTTTCTAAAATCACAAAGTGGTCACTGCAAATAAATAGGCTAAATTCTTAGACACCAGGTGTCCTAGGGATCAATTGCTGGAGGAAAAAAAAAAAAAAAACCTTCATGGTCTCACGTTTACTTTCAGATGTTCAGAGTCGCACGGATTTGTCTCTTCACTCGGAACCGAGAGGGTTGTGATGCTATGGGAGGTCACATGCGTTACACGCACGTAGAAAGCAAAAAGCAGGGCAGCTTGTGACTAGTTTTCTGTAGAACTTCCAGACTATGACGCTAAGATTCAGTCCTGGTCCCGGGCTGGGTAAGGAAAACTAGACCAGCAGTGGCACGGGGGTGGCTTTGCTGCTGCCAGGGTTTGACGCCACACCACTTCCTAATGCCTCTGCTGAAATAGCCATGATGACGTGAGAAGACTAAGGCTCTAAGCAGCAAGCATTGCTCCACACCTGTCAGAGTGGCTAAAACCAACCCCACAAGAAGGAACAGGTGTCGGTGAGGACGTGGAGACAAAGGAACCCTCCCACACGGTTGGTGGCAATGCAAACCGGTGCAGCCACCGTAGCAAACAACACAGGGGTTCCTCAAAAAAATTCAAAATAGAACTTACCTTATGATCCAGCAATCCCACTACCCGGTGTTTACTCGAAGAACACAAGAACGCTAATTCAAAGGGATACACGCATGCCCATGTTTATAGCAGCACTAACTACAAGAGCCGAGATATGGAAGCAGCCCCAGTGTTCATCGATTGATGAACGGAGAAAGAAGAGGTCACATAGGGACGCCTGGGTGGCTCAGTCAGTTGGGCGTGCGACCTCGGCTCAAGTCACCATCTCGCATTCATGGGTTCAAGCCCCGCATCCCGCTTTGTGCTGACAGCTCAGAGCCTGGACCCTGCTTCGGGTTCTCTCTGTCTCTGTCTCTGTCTCTCTTTCTCTCTCTGCCCATCCCACACGCGCACTCTTTCTCTCTCTCCCTCTCTCAAAAGTAAACATTTAAAAAAAATTTTTTTTAAGAGGTGGCATATATATGCTATGGAATATTATTCAACCATAAAAAGGAATGAAATCTTGCCATTTACAATGATGTGGATGGAGCTAGAGAGCATAATGTTAAGCGAAATTGGTCAGAGAAAGACAAATACCCCATGATTTCACTCATACGTGGAATTTAACAGACCAAAAAAAAAAAAAAATGAGCAAAGGAAAAAAAGAGAGACACAGCAAGAAACAGACTCTTAACTACAGAGAACACACTGATGGTTACCAGAGGGGAGGTGGGGGTGTGTGTGTGGCTGAAACAGGTGATGGGGACTAAGGAGGGCACTTGTGATGAGCCCTGGGTACTGGATGCAAGTGTTGAATCACCATATTGTACGCCTGAAACTAATACAACACAGTATGCTGACTACACTGGAACTAAAAGCTTAAAAGAAAAGTAATAAAATCTGGGGACACCTGGCTGGCACAAGTCGGAGGGGGTCCCGAGTTCAAGTACCATGCTGGGTGCAGCGATCACTCAAAAACGTAAATACACTTAGGAAAAAAATAAAGGTCGTTAAAAAATAAAAGAAGAAATAGATTTAAAGAGAAAGCATGTTTTCATTTGCCATTTCCAACTTATTCATAGAATTTAGATTTAAATAAAAGTGATGATAAATCTGCATCATCAGTGTCAAATTTCTAGACTCAACTGTATGTCTAAAGTTTGAAAATGTGATAACTTGACCTCCCTTTTTCTTGAAGTATTTTTTACCGCCCTTGTTTTTTTATTAAGTAATCTACACCCAACGTGGGGCTCGAACTCAGGACCCCAAGATCAAGAGTCACACACTCTGCTGGCTGAGCCAGCCAGGTGCCCCATGAGCTTGGTTTTTGGTGATTGATTCTTTTTATTATTATTATTATTATTATTAATGTTTATTTTTGAGAGGGAGAGAGCGTGGGGGAGGGTCAGAGAGAGGGAGACAGAGGATCCAAAGCCGGCTCTGTGATAACAGCAAAGAGCCCCATGTGGGGCTGGAGCTCATAAACCGTGAGATCATGACCTGAGCTGAAGTTGGACACTTAACCGACGGAGCCACCCAGGTGCCCCTGATTCTTTTTTTTTTTTAAGTTTATTATTTTGAGAGACAGAGAAAGAGAGAGGCAGAGAGAGAGGTAGAGAGAGAATCTTAGACAGGCTCCACACTCAGCATGGAGCCCGATGCAGGGCTTGACCTCACAGATCATAAGATAATGA